TTGAACTTGATACAAATAATCATGGCAACTATCCTCAACATTTCATAAAATAAAATTAAAAATATCTCCTTATCTTTATATTTTTATTTAAAGATGCCAGAACTTTTGGTCAGACCTAGTATTACAGTTCTAAGCATGACGCCTCTTGTGTCTAAAAAAATTCTTAAATGAAAATCCCTAATTAGTCACCACTTTTGATTTCATCGATTTCATTATCCACAAATGTGGATCTGATTTAGGGATAGATTTAGGGTAGCACAATTTATGGTAAATGATAGCTATTTCGAAAATAAAGAGAATTGCGATTGCTGCCACTGAAAGGAGTCAGGTCTCTTTGATGGTAAGCGTGTGAGTGAACAAAAGATTCTCAATGGTGGACCATTCACTCATACACTCACCGCTTGTTGACAGGATAATTTGATTGATTATGCCACATTTTTCTTTGTTGCTGTTAAAGTTGCATAATAATGAGCTCAAGAATGAATATACTTATAATTTGAGCATGTTGTCATAATATTTTCATGTTCAAATGCTCTTCTCTCCCTCATTGTTATTTGGCGAAAAAGTGATATGTGTATATGAATGTCTACATCAAAGTTCGTTCTCCACAACTTATTATGCCACGATGTACCCAAGTTCTGCACTAAAAACATATGGTGATGAATATTTCACCTATTTTCAGTCTTCTCTGAGCTGTTTCCTATGCCATTACTATTTAATGTTTGATTGATATTATATTTTTTTAATAAAAGAAAAGAGAGACATGAGTGTATTTTTCGATTCATGCCTACACATCTGACACAACGATGAATATTAAAAAAATGCTTTTTTCTAGCAGAAAATTATAATGTTGCATATTCGATACAACTATTTCTCCGGTCGTTGCGCATTTCTGAGCATTTAAACATGTTTAAAGCACGTCTTTCTAAAGATTTATTTGAATGTATTCATTATTTATGATGCAATCAAGTGCATCTAAAATGTAGCATTATTAGTTGTCTCAATGTGCCCTCGTATATAAATGCGTTCTGATTTGATTTGCTCGTAAACCCGCATAGGTGCGTTTACAAATAATTCTATTTTCTATCCATGTAAGAATGAAACACAATTTAGATGCGTCTAATGGAGTTTATGCTATAAATGATGCAGTTTAAGCACAACTTATTTTTAAAAATACGTGAAAACGAACTAGAATTCGTTGTTTTCTAATCTTTTTCTAGACTCGTTTAGTATCGTCTGCATAAATTCGAACAAGTTCTTCATCAATAACACTTTTAAATAAGCACATAAAATTTGTATAAAGATTTTGGACGCAAATGTTTGCAACTTTGTATCTGACTGCTTTTTAATCTTCAAGGATTTCAAGTTAAATATGATTAGACGCTCTTTGTCGAAGATATGCGGCCATGTGCAACTGTCGTATGGGTCCTTTGGTACTCTGAACTTCCAATGGTCCATTTAAACACAGTTCATCGGTTCTCATTATGTCGTTAAGATGGATTCGAATGCGTTTCTTGCTTGAGATACATCTAGCTGCTTCCCACTGCAAATTATGTTACTGAGGTGAAGATAAATACATGTACAATAGCGAATCCGACTGTATGAACTGCGCTTAAAAACAGTATTAAAATCCTCTAATAAGCTATTTAAAAACCGCAGCTAACCTTACTCTATTCGTGATATTAGTGAGTTATCTGTGTAATAAATCATTTAAATGTGTATTTTATTAGGTATTGTATGAAATACACGTTAAAACATGTTTTTATATGTGACAACTTCTGAGCCTTTCTAGCGGTCTTCCATTTTATAAAAATGTATATTTAGTCTGTGAACTAAATATATGAATGCGTACCTGATTTTCACATGTATACAACTTTCATTCACTAATAATATGAAGTTTATACAATTCTAGTTTATATTATCTTTATACTTTTGATGAATTTTATTCAATCGGAATGCGAAAGAAACACATACCGTGTACAAATTTTTACTTTAAATCAATCGATTTTTTCTTCAAACGTTGTCGAGTTCTTATAACTTCATGAATTAAATGCCATTGAAATAGATGTTTGTTTTAATACGAAGTGTCATGGCAATAGACAAAGAGACCTAACAAGTATTTATAGTTCGGTGGTAAGTTTCCTGCTCTCTACTCTGTAGGAACCATAGTCGAAGGACACTTGATGTCTCTTATTCAGTGGCATAGAATTGTATTGGATAGAAGTGAAACATTCATGTAAGAACAGCAGCAGATCAATACCATAACAGTGCTGCAATTTTTTCCGTCATTGTATTGATGAAATTACTGTACCATCAGTATTCTATATTTTGTTATAATCTTGTGAATTTGAGAAGTCTTCATTTAAAAAAATTTGAATGGAACTTTTGCCATTATAATAGGTAAATCGACTATGCTCTACACGATTAGTAAGTTGAAAATAGATTTGGAGAAATTCATGCATTTAAGTGTTACATATACGAACGAATCATGCAAATATGTTATGAAGTTTAACAAAGATTCCATAATAATTTAGGCGACCACAAGTTCTGCCGTAATGACTAGTTAGTAGCCAGCTCAATAACAATATGTTGTAATAAAAAATGTTAAACGCATGAAAAATAGTCTGCATTATTTGTGATAGATAATCATCTAAATGAAGGCGTCTGATCACAACAAAACAAGACATTTCTAAAGGAAAAGAAACTTTCTTAAAACTCTATGCAAATAAAACCGAAGATTTCCTTGCTGAATTACATTGCAAATATATGTTCCTGCTGCACTGTAAAGATTAAACTATTGATAATTTTCAAAAAGATAATTTTGATCATTGTAAGCATATGGCTTCATAAACATAATTACTTTTAACCGATTATAATTAAAAATAATCCATAAAGTCAAATTTTCATCGAATTTTCTGATTAACTTTAATTATAATCAATTCAATATTAGTTTTAAAAAAATCAATTATAGTTAATGCAAATCAAAGAAAACTGTTTAAACATCCTACCATTTATCGTTAAGCGAAATCGATTGAAAGCAATGATTTTTGCACAATTTTTTCAAATTCATTATAATCAAAATCAATCAGAATTACCAATAGAATAACGATTTTTCTCGACTACTTTTCGATTATAACCGGTTCGTAATCGATACTAGTCAATTAAAAGCGTATAATTTTAATCGATTTTAATTTGATTTTTCGTCTGGTTTTTTATATGGATTCAAGAAAAAAAGCATCAAAAAAGTTTACAGGGAAGTATTATAGATGCTTTCTATCAGAATTAATTTTCTTTTAATGTTTCGAAACCGACGGCAAATCCAAATCTAAAACAAAAACAACACCATCAATGCCAATATCATATCAAAATCAACAATTTTGATTTTGTTACGTGTCCATAAAATTGGTTTGGGAGATGCTTCAATCTTACGATCTGTCGTACTTGTTTTTTTTCTCTTCCAGACAAGCACTTTTTTGTGTAATACTTTCTTTGATACCAAAATATTACACAAAGTTCGAGTATTGACAGAAAAGAAAATATTTTTTGAATATGCAACTAGTTATTTGATAGAATAATGTTTTATCTATGGCAAGTTTAAGTGCATACTGATATAATAATTAATCAACAATGGCCCTATTGTGTGAATCATTTTTTAATATATTGGAGTGAAGGATGTAATTATTGTGCGACAACAGATGGTCAAGTGTGTGCACCAGAAAATAATTACGGTCCTCTAGTATAAATTATTGCTGTTCGTCATCTATAGTAGTTTTAGTTTTATTATTTCTTGCCCTTATACAAATAGAACTAACCAATCAACGATCGATATAAAAGGTAGCATTAATTCAGCCTATTTGTCTTAATTTTGACATTAGTACATTGTGTATTCTTAGGAAAAATACTATATTCTATTGATCATGTTTCGAATCAACATTTTGGTAGTTTTCTCAGTGATTATATTTACTCTTCGCTCATCGGAAGGTGATACTCGATATGCATATTTGAAGACAGCTCACATTGGTTCAGTGAATCCAGGATTTCCGTCCGGTGATTGTCCAATATCTTCCAACGGTTACAAATTTGGTTGGCACTTCGTACTGAGCGGAACTAAAACGTCTTTCGTATCAATCAAATGTGTTTTCGAGAAAGCAGGAAGCGTCACAACAATGCAGCAAGTTCCGACTAATAAGCATGCTTATGTGTTTACACCAACGTCAGACAAAATTCGTAACGCATCGGCCGTCGTGGATGGTCCTGATACTGAGTTTGTTTTAAGTCATGTTTGTAACCCTGGTCAGACGACAACAACGGCACACAGTGAGTGTTGAGCTTTCTGTTTAACCTGTTTCTTTTCAGTTAAAATTGTAGTTTCGAAGTTTAATTATGTAGCAGATGATTTTCTGTAATGGATGGTAGTTCGAAAAAATGATAATTAACTTTGTTTTTTTTATAGCTGTGCTCACAACCCAAATCACGACCATTGAAGCAACACCATTAATAGTCGATAGTGCCAATCTAGCTTTCAGTAAGTCTTCATCGTCTACATTTTCGTTATTTAACCGAATCGCACGAAATTTCTATCATTTCTAAGGGATATGATAATCAGCAGTATATATGAAGATAGACTTAAGTTGAGTATGTACCATTACTCTCGAGCAACCGAATAAAACCTGCTGATCGTACTAGCGATTCAACCTTTAGAACGAATTATTAATCAGTGAAGACCAAAATTAAGCATGAAGAAGTATATTTATAGAGCTGCATATTCAGCAAGAAAAGCTGGTTGATGAATATAACCATGGAAGCAACTCATTGAATTTTTTCGAGTAGTGATAAGGAATGGTTAAAGAGACTGGAAACGAATAGTGAAGTGAAACACTAAAAAGTCCACAATAATAACTCCAGGAAGACAGATCATGAAAAAAAATCAACAGAAGTATCAAGGAAAAAGTGGAGGAGAATAGAAGCGTAAAACTTGTGAAAGTTGTTGATTAGCAACGTGAAAACCATATAGAATAGTTTTATTAGTTTTTGAGACGAAGGGTCGAATTGTAATAATTATGCAGATCAGAGAACCACAATGGTTGATTTTTCGTAAGCCTTGCCTGCCTATAATGACCTGTCTATTATTTTTCGTTCTACTATCATGAAAATAATAGAATAGAAAGAAGTATTAACCCTTTGGGGACGGGCGTGGTATATATACCACCTGGGGTATTTCTCAAAATTTGGGGATGATATATATTTCAAATCAATCAGAAGTGAGTGGAAATAGCCTGTAAAGTAATTTTTCTG